AGATGTTCCAGTAAAGCTGGATCACGTGGCTGATGGTGTGGAGGTTAGACATTACGGTTTATTACATCATACACGCTTGTGTTTACAGCTCGTTTAAGGCTGTTCATTACAACCTTACAGTTACATTACAGTTCATTTAAGTTGAGTTGTAAATTACCCTAATAAAGAAACAAAAATCATAAAATATATTTTCTATACATATATATATATATATATATATATATATATATATATATAAATGAAACATCTTATTCTCATTACTATAATCAGATATTATTATTATTAATAAATTATAATTTATTTTTATAATCTTTTTTAGTGTGTGTGTGTGTGTGTATATAATTTAAATTGTTTGTAATTAATTTTGAATTTGTAATATAATTTAATTTCATGGTAGTTTTGCTGCCTTTATTTGCTCAAGTAAAAAAAAATATCTATATAATTATATTATTATTATTAAAGTAATGAGAATCACTATTGAGAATAAGAATTACAGGCATACTCAAAAAGAAAAGAAACCCTAGAACAAAAACATCTTATTGGTGCTATTATGATTTAGTTTCTTTTTTGGTGTTTTGAGGTGTAATATAACCTGAACATGTGTTCATGAGATTCACCTTAAATGTACTGAATTCAAACCTGACTGGAAGTGGTTCTGATGGGAAAATGAGACCGGTTTAATCAAACATAGTGTTGTGAAGCTCAGAGCTTATTTACCGCGGTGCCAGAGGATCGTGGGAACTTCTGCAGGAATCCAGCTCTTGATATAATCTGGAAACCCCTCGACTCTGTCCTTCACAGTAAACACGTTTCCCACCGCGTGCTTTATGAAGCTCTCTGCGTCCTCACTGAGCAGCGTCTGCAAACTCGAAGGGAGTTTCAGAGGAGATTCCCGTCTGACTGTGTGGCGCTCTTCAGGATCGGTTTAATCTGTCTGGGAAACGTCTCGGAGATTAATACGATGAAATCTAACATAACACGTATCTCTCTGTCGCTGTGAGAGCGTAGGATCTGCAGCTCCATCACTGTAAATCCTTTATCTTGTTCTTAAAGAACGTCTGCTGCCGGTTTGTGATCGTCAGTATTTGTGATGTTTTTATAAATGATCCAGTAGAGGCTGACCTTCAGTACATTTCAAGCTTGAAATAGCAGCTGTGAGAAGCTGAATTATAACGGGGTTTTTTTGGGTGAACTAACCCTTTAACTTTGGGCTTACACTTGTGACCCTGGTCATTAAAACCTTAAATATTTTTATCACTGTGTTTTTTTTTTTTCAGCTAGTAGCCAAGGTAACATTTTCCATTTTAGTTTAGTTCAAGTTAGTTCAAAAGTAGAAACTAAAATGTAATAGAGACTATATAGACATTAATAGAACAAATAAAAATGACAAAAACACAGAACACAATTACTAAAACTAACTAAAATTAAATTAAAAACAGAAATTATAAAATAAAATGAAATTCTGAGTATTCATAAAAACTATAATAGCATAGAATTGTATGTAAATACTAAAATAACACTGAAATCTACGATATTTTAGGTCAATATTGTTTCTGTAATATTTTGTATTTTAAGCGGATTTCATAATACTAAACTAAAAATACTAGTAATATTCACCTCTAAGATATGCACAATTAATTTCTATATAAAATAAAAACATTTAAAAAAACACATTTTATACTATTTTTGCAGCAAGTTAACAATAGAGCAATTTTAATAGGTGTATTTGATTATATATTTAGACATTATCAAAGACTACTTTTTGTGAACGTTTACATTTGTTATTTTGAAGTGCAAATTTGCTATATATATATATAATGTACCCAGAAGTGGTTTAAATCTGACAAAATATCCCAAAACCTCCTTTTAGGGACATCCTCATTTGAAGAAAAAAAAATGCATAAAAATAAAGTTTTGTGGCTGATTTGTTAGTATAAAAAAATTGTGTATTTTTCGTATTTCCCATTCATTTCCTATTGGCAGTCATGTTTGACCACTAGAAACACGTGTGACTTTGTTTTTAAGACCCATTCGCCTTTTTAAATTGTTTTTGATTTATTTGTTCACATAGCCAGTGTGACAAAAGTCACCAAGTTTAACACCATTCTGATGGTAACAAAGGTCATTTAAGTGTTGTTGATGTGTTGACACGGGCAGGTGGTTTTGCTCTGTGATGAACTCCGTGACAGTGACACTGAAGTGTGCTGTTTCTGTCCCAGAGTTCAGTTGCTCCACAGGTGGAGGTGTGCTGTGAGACGGAGCTGGAGAGACCATTAGCGCCATCTACTGGTGAAAAAGAGAAGTATATGAAGGCCCTGAATGAGACCATTGTGATGGGGAGACGCTCCACATGGGCTTCGGTTGGAGAAGAAGAAGAAGCATTGGACAGCAGAAGCAGTGTTGAAGCTGTGAAACATCATCCATTTCCTATACAAACCTCTGAAGAGATTCCTGCTGGAAACCACAAAGGCGTATGCCACGGAGAAGATGCCATGGATGAAGATGTGCTCCAAATCTGGGATCAGAAAAACCAAAATATTGAGGTTGAAGATAAAAACAAGGAGCCTGCATTGGAAGAAACCACCTATGAAACCCAAGAGATTCCTACTGGAAATCAAGAAGTGATGTGCCATGAAGAAGACACCATGGATGAAGACGTGCCCCAAATCTTGGATCAGAAACACCAAAATATTGAGGTTGAAGATGAAATCAAGGAAACTTCAATGGAAAGTCCATCTAAAGGAGAAGAAGCCAGCTCACAAACCCAAGAAATTCCTGCTGCAAACCAAGAAGATGAAGACGTGCTCCAAATCTGGGATCAGAAACACCAAAGCGGAGAATTTCCACTTTATATGAAGTCCGTATCATCAACTGCACAGAACCAGATGGAAGACCAACCTCAAGAGATGATGATCAACGATAAAGATGAAGAAGCTTCCTCATGTTCCCATTTGAGCGAGCAGCCAAGGTTTCAAACATCAGACCTTATGGAAACAAACGTGCATGAACTGGATCCTGGACCAAACCAGGAGAAGGAAGTTGCACAGGAAATAAAGCATAGTGCTTCTACAGCACCTCGTATGGAGGTAACCAATCCCAGTGTGCACTGGGGTCACCGTGTGATATCAGCACTGACTAACGATGGAAACGCTCTCTCTCTTCTTGCTTCACGATTGGAAGTGTTTGATCAGTCACTGATTAATTACACGTCTTCTCTAAAGAAGAAGAAACCAACTCAGAAACCCAAGAAATTCCTGCTGCAAACCAAGAAGATGAAGACCTGCTCCAAATCTGGGATCAGAAACACCAAAATATTGAGGTTGAATATAAAAACAAGGAGCCTGCATTGGAAGAAACCACCTATGAAAACCAAGAGATTCCTACTGGAAATCAAGAAGTGATGTGCCATGGAGAAGACACCATGGTTGAAGACATGCTCCAAATCTGGGATCAGAAACACCAAAATATTGAGGTTGAAGAAGAAATTAAGGAAACTCCAATGGAAAGTCCATCTAAAGGAGAAGAAACCAGCTCAGAAACCCAAGAAATTCCTGCTGGAAACCAAGAAGATAAAGACATTCTCCAAGTCTTGAATCAGAAACACCAAAATATTGAGACTGAAAATGAAATCAAGGAATCTGCTTTGGAAGAAACCACCTCAAAAACCCAAGAGATTCTTACTGGAACCCAAGAAGTTATGTGCCATGAAGATGATGACGAAGATGAAGATATGCTCCAAATATTGGATCAGAAACACCAAAGTATTGAGGTTGAAGATGAAATCAAGGAACCTGCATTGGAAACGCCATCTGAAAGAGAAGAAACCAACTTAGAAACCCAAGAGATTCCTGCTGGAAACCAAGATGAGAACATTCTCCAAATCTGGGATCAGAAACATCAAAATATTGAGGTTAAAGATGAAACTGCAATGGAAGAAATCACCTCAGAAGCCCAAGAGATTCCTGCTGGAAACCAAGATGAGAACATGCTCCAAATCTGGGATCAGAAACAACAAATTAGTGAGTTTGAAAATAAAAACAAGGAGCCTGCAATGGAAGAAACCACCTATGAAACCCAAGAGCTGGAGAATGAAATGTTGGTGTCGTTCCACAACAACAACATTGAGAGTTTTGATCAAGAACAAGTGTTTTCAGACTCGTTTGAACTTTCTCAGCTCTTGTTCTTCAATCAAGAGGAACCTGCGGATGAATCCATCAACGTCCAACCTTACGGAGAATTTCCACTTTATATGAAGTCCGTATCATCAACTGCACAGAACCAGATGGAAGACCAACCTCAAGAGATGATGATCAACGATAAAGATGAAGAAGCTTCCTCATGTTCCCATTTGAGCGAGCAGCCAAGGTTTCAAACATCAGACCTTATGGAAACAAACGTGCATGAACTGGATCCTGGACCAAACCAGGAGAAGGAAGTTGCACAGGAAATAAAGCATAGTGCTTCTACAGCACCTCGTATTGAGGTAACCAATCCCAGTGTGCACTGGGATCACCGTGTGATATCAGCACTGACTAACGATGGAAACGCTCTCTCTCTTCCCGATTGGAAGTGTTTGATGAGTCACTGATTAATTACACATCTTCATCTGAACGCTGCATGATCACAGATGTTGTTTAACACACTCTATTCTTCACATCTGCATGTCTGGATGAATTTATTCATGAGCAGCTGGACGTTTCCATTTGTTGAGGATGTTTAGCCTGATTTTGGCTTCGACAATGGGTCGAATGAGAAACTGATTGTCAAGTCACCTATAGTTCTATAGTGCTTTACACAATACAGATTGTTTCAAAGCAGATTTACATTAATAAACAGGAAAATAACTGTTAATTTCAATTTCAGCTCTAAAACGATCTACAGAAGACAATAGAGTTCAAGTTTTGTTGTCATCTGATAGTGTCAGTGCAGATAAATTCATAATATTACTGAATATTAATTGCCTTTTAAATCCCAGCTTTTAATTAAACTTCACCTCCAAATCTGGGATCAGAAACACCAAAATATTGAGGTTGAAGAAGAAATTAAGGAAACTCCAATGGAAAGTCCATCTAAAGGAGAAGAAACCAGCTCAGAAACCCAAGAAATTCCTGCTGGAAACCAAGAAGATAAAGACATTCTCCAAGTCTTGAATCAGAAACACCAAAATATTGAGACTGAAAATGAAATCAAGGAATCTGCTTTGGAAGAAACCACCTCAAAAACCCAAGAGATTCTTACTGGAACCCAAGAAGTTATGTGCCATGAAGATGATGACGAAGATGAAGATATGCTCCAAATATTGGATCAGAAACACCAAAGTATTGAGGTTGAAGATGAAATCAAGGAAACTTCAATGGAAATTCCATCTAAAGAAGAAGAAACCAACTCACAAACCCAAGAAATTCCTGCTGCAAACCAAGAAGATAAAGACATTCTCCAAATCTGGGATCAGAAACACCAAAATATTGAGGTTGAAGATGAAATCAAGGAAACTTCAATGGAAATTCCATCTAAAGAAGAAGAAACCAACTCAGAAACCCAAGAAATTCCTGCTGCAAACCAAGAAGATGAAGACCTGCTCCAAATCTGGGATCAGAAACACCAAAATATTGAGGTTGAATATAAAAACAAGGAGCCTGCATTGGAAGAAACCACCTATGAAAACCAAGAGATTCCTACTGGAAATCAAGAAGTGATGTGCCATGGAGAAGACACCATGGTTGAAGACATGCTCCAAATCTGGGATCAGAAACACCAAAATATTGAGGTTGAAGAAGAAATTAAGGAAACTCCAATGGAAAGTCCATCTAAAGGAGAAGAAACCAGCTCAGAAACCCAAGAAATTCCTGCTGGAAACCAAGAAGATAAAGACATTCTCCAAGTCTTGAATCAGAAACACCAAAATATTGAGACTGAAAATGAAATCAAGGAATCTGCTTTGGAAGAAACCACCTCAAAAACCCAAGAGATTCTTACTGGAACCCAAGAAGTTATGTGCCATGAAGATGATGACGAAGATGAAGATATGCTCCAAATATTGGATCAGAAACACCAAAGTATTGAGGTTGAAGATGAAATCAAGGAACCTGCATTGGAAACGCCATCTGAAAGAGAAGAAACCAACTTAGAAACCCAAGAGATTCCTGCTGGAAACCAAGATGAGAACATTCTCCAAATCTGGGATCAGAAACATCAAAATATTGAGGTTAAAGATGAAACTGCAATGGAAGAAATCACCTCAGAAGCCCAAGAGATTCCTGCTGGAAACCAAGATGAGAACATGCTCCAAATCTGGGATCAGAAACAACAAATTAGTGAGTTTGAAAATAAAAACAAGGAGCCTGCAATGGAAGAAACCACCTATGAAACCCAAGAGCTGGAGAATGAAATGTTGGTGTCGTTCCACAACAACAACATTGAGAGTTTTGATCAAGAACAAGTGTTTTCAGACTCGTTTGAACTTTCTCAGCTCTTGTTCTTCAATCAAGAGGAACCTGCGGATGAATCCATCAACGTCCAACCTTACGGAGAATTTCCACTTTATATGAAGTCCGTATCATCAACTGCACAGAACCAGATGGAAGACCAACCTCAAGAGATGATGATCAACGATAAAGATGAAGAAGCTTCCTCATGTTCCCATTTGAGCGAGCAGCCAAGGTTTCAAACATCAGACCTTATGGAAACAAACGTGCATGAACTGGATCCTGGACCAAACCAGGAGAAGGAAGTTGCACAGGAAATAAAGCATAGTGCTTCTACAGCACCTCGTATGGAGGTAACCAATCCCAGTGTGCACTGGGGTCACCGTGTGATATCAGCACTGACTAACGATGGAAACGCTCTCTCTCTTCTTGCTTCACGATTGGAAGTGTTTGATCAGTCACTGATTAATTACACGTCTTCATCTGAACGCTGCATGATCACAGATGTTGCTTAACACACTCTATTCTTCACATCTGCATGTCTGGATGAATTTATTCATGAGCAGCTGGACGTTTCCATTTGTTGAGGATGTTTAGCCTGATTTTGGCTTCGACAATGGGTCGAATGAGAAACCGATTGTCAAGTCACCTATAGTTCTATAGTGCTTTACACAATACAGATTGTTTCAAAGCAGATTTACATTAATAAACAGGAAAATAACTGTTAATTTCAATTTCAGCTCTAAAACGATCTACAGAAGACAATAGTGTTCAAGTTTTGTTGTCATCTGATTGTGTCAGTGCAGATAAATTCATAATATTACTGAATATTAATTGCCTTTTAAATCCCAGCTTTTAATTGAACTTCACATGCATCGTATAAATGCATGATGCTGCATGCAAAAAAAAATGGTCTGTTTTGTCTTTTTCCTGTTGAATTTCCTGAAATGCGTCAGATTACAGAAGTCTAATGGGTTGCAACTGCAGTTTCTTGTTGAAATATAAAGAGTTTAGTGTTTGCTAGTAGTTGTCTTTATAATGAACTGAAATATCAATATGCCATCATGAAAGCGATGATCTGTGGTGTAGGTTATTCAAGCACTTCCCCAGTGTTTCATTTGCAAAAATCGATAAACGCCACTTAAAAAAAACGATGAAATTTCAACAAACTTGATGAAGCTGTGATATCTTCTTCAGGGCGAAAAAGGAAAATAAAAGCTGAAACGTTTTCGCGGAAGCTTGCAAAAGCAGCACTTTACAATATTGAGGGAAAAGCTCTGTGTATTGCGTGTAATCACATCCATACAGTTTATGATCACAACAACAAAAACGTTTGTCAGGCGTCTACATTATCATCTTTTTAATATGTTCACTTTCAATGAACTTTAATTTAGTAAATTAGCTGTATTTGTTTAAGTTATTATTATTTAATCAAAACAACCCAACTGCAGTTTGATTGATATTACTTGGAATGTGCAATAAAAAAAAAAAAAGCGATTCCTGGGAGGGAAATAAAAAAGTTATCGGTTTTGGCAAATTAACTCTTCCAGTGATTTTCTGTGTTTGTGAATCAGCAGTCGGAGGAAGCGCTTAAAGACGTTCCTGTGGTTCAGACCGAGACCATCACGTACGAGTCTGCAGAGGTGAAGCGCTCTCAACTCTGTCTCATGCCGTTTCCAGTGTGCCGGCGTGTTTGTAATGCATCTGTGTGTGTTTATAGATCGAAGCCAGCGGCGACTCGGATCCAGGCATCCTCATGAGCACTCAGACCATCACATCAGAGAGCAACAGCAGCACCACACACATCACCAAGGTCAGTGGAGACTAGGGCTGTGTATCACCAGCAAAGTCATGATACGATACGTATCGCGATACAGGACTGCACTGAATTTCACCTCAGCAGAATTTAGAAAAACAGCTGTTTATTAAACACTGCTTACTATAGTGCCATTTCTAACTATTGGCAGAGCAGCAGCTGAGCTCCGCATTATGAAGCGCCTCTATAACTGTATCACAGTACAATATAGGTAATTGCGTATGTTTCATGTTTACATTGTGCACTCCCCACCAGGTACAATATTCTGATTGTTTGCATCTTATTTTTAAGCCCATAAATAATAATGTACTTGTTCTAATAAATTTATATTGTAATGTACTCATTCTAATATGTTTAAAAAATAATTTACATTGCTGGTAGGTTATCATTGCACAAATTAACACACGCTCTACAATAATTTTTTTTTTAGAAGAGTTCTAAACTAACGCGCTGTCTTCACTGTATCTAACGCTCACACGCTCAAGGCTGATTTATACTCGAGTGTCAGCAAGTTCGCTTTGAGTGCGTGCGACGTCGTTTCGCATGGCGGTGTGCACAACATTTTTTTTAACTTTCCGCGCAGCTCCGCTTCCGAAGATGCACGAGTTCAAAGCAACTCTAGCCGAACATGCACGTCTGTGCCAGCATTTGTGTGAAACAGAAGCGGTTAGATGTTAAGTGCAGTCTCACACACAGATCACGTTGCAGCCGCACTCAGACATCCAGGAACAAACTTTTTACCGCTGCCCCGCAATTTTATCAACTAAATAGCTTAATCGCTATTAAAGAGCTACATTATCTTTCTCAACAAGGAGCTGGTAGCATCATTGTTTCTAAAGGAATTAAAGCCACAGCTTCACTGTTTATAGAGAAACCCGGCAAAACGGTGGTGCTAAAGAGCTACATTATCTTTCTCAACAAGGAGCTGGTAGCATCATTGTTTCTAAAGGAATTAAAGCCATAGCTTTACTGTTAATAGAGAAACGCGGCAAAACGGTGGTAATTCATACATACACAGCCTCTCTCTCTCTCTCTCTCTCTCTCTCTCTCTCTCTGTGTGTGTCTCTCTCTCTGTGTCTCTCTCTCTCTCTGTGTCTCTCTCTCTCTCTCTGTGTGTGTCTCTCTCTCTCTCCTTCTCTCTCTCTCTCTGTGTCGTAAATGAACAGTTGATGAATCACACTTTTCTGAGAATAGACTTGAAGTGGAGATCGCTAAACTGCAAGCTAAGCGGTGTTTTCAGAAAGCAAGCTCGTTTATCCAGTGGAGAGAGAGCGAGTGTGCACATGGTTGCCAGGTTGACAAAGATAAGTAGCACGTTTAGCAGATATTTCTGTATTGTGCAAGTGTAAAGCTCTGTTTTGGGGATTACGTCTCTTTATATCAGGCAACCCCGTTGTGTTCCTCTGTGGCCAGATTATTAACAGATGCTCTTTTCTACTCAATTTTAAACGTTGTAAAATTAAGCGTGGCACACGTGCCACAGTATCGATACTCATATCGTCAAATCTCTGTGACGATACATCGTCGTATCGATATTTTTAACACAGCACTAGTGGAGACTAGGGCTGCCACAACTAATCCATAAAGAAAACAATCCACAACGAATGTGATTATCGATTAGTCTCGTCTGCCCACCGCGCACGGAAAACTTCTGCCAGTCACGTCACATTACAACAGCGTTCTACGGACGAAATGCATCTAAAAATAGCAGATGAAACGGAGTGTGCTGTTTAATGTGTGAGAAATGTTTCCTTCCTTCTGTAAACGTTACATATTCGGCCGAAATGGTTCCTTCCTTCTGTAAACGTTACATATTTGGCTGAAATGGTTCCTTCCTTCTGGTTCCTTCCTTCTGTAAACGTTACATATTTGGCTGAAATGGTTCCTTCCTTCTGGTTCCTTCCTTCTGTAAACGTTACATATTTGGCTGAAATGGTTCCTTCCTTCTGGTTCCTTCCTTCTGTAAACGTTACATATTTGGCTGAAATGGTTCCTTCCTTCTGGTTCCTTCCTTCTGTAAACGTTACATATTTGGCTGAAATGGTTCCTTCCTTCTGGTTCCTTCCTTCTGTAAACGTTACATATTTGGCTGAAATGGTTCCTTCCTTCTGGTTCCTTCCTTCTGTAAACGTTACATATTTGGCTGAAATGGTTCCTTCCTTCTGGTTCCTTCCTTCTGTAAACGTTACATATTTGGCTGAAATGGTTCCTTCCTTCTGGTTCCTTCCTTCTGTAAACGTTACATATTTGGCTGAAATGGTTCCTTCCTTCTGGTTCCTTCCTTCTGTAAACGTTACATATTTGGCTGAAATGGTTCCTTCCTTCTGGTTCCTTCCTTCTGTAAACGTTACATATTTGGCTGAAATGGTTCCTTCCTTCTGGTTCCTTCCTTCTGTAAACGTTACATATTTGGCTGAAATGGTTCCTTCCTTCTGGTTCCTTCCTTCTGTAAACGTTACATATTTGGCTGAAATGGTTCCTTCCTTCTGGTTCCTTCCTTCTGTAAACGTTACATATTTGGCTGAAATGGTTCCTTCCTTCTGGTTCCTTCCTTCTGTAAACGTTACATATTTGGCTGAAATGGTTCCTTCCTTCTGGTTCCTTCCTTCTGTAAACGTTACATATTTGGCTGAAATGGTTCCTTCCTTCTGGTTCCTTCCTTCTGTAAACGTTACATATTTGGCTGAAATGGTTCCTTCCTTCTGGTTCCTTCCTTCTGTAAACGTTACATATTTGGCTGAAATGGTTCCTTCCTTCTGGTTCCTTCCTTCTGTAAACGTTACATATTTGGCTGAAATGGTTCCTTCCTTCTGGTTCCTTCCTTCTGTAAACGTTACATATTTGGCTGAAATGGTTCCTTCCTTCTGGTTCCTTCCTTCTGTAAACGTTACATATTTGGCTGAAATGGTTCCTTCCTTCTGGTTCCTTCCTTCTGTAAACGTTACATATTTGGCTGAAATGGTTCCTTCCTTCTGGTTCCTTCCTTCTGTAAACGTTACATATTTGGCTGAAATGGTTCCTTCCTTCTGGTTCCTTCCTTCTGTAAACGTTACATATTTGGCTGAAATGGTTCCTTCCTTCTGGTTCCTTCCTTCTGTAAACGTTACATATTTGGCTGAAATGGTTCCTTCCTTCTGGTTCCTTCCTTCTGTAAACGTTACATATTTGGCTGAAATGGTTCCTTCCTTCTGGTTCCTTCCTTCTGTAAACGTTACATATTTGGCTGAAATGGTTCCTTCCTTCTGGTTCCTTCCTTCTGTAAACGTTACATATTTGGCTGAAATGGTTCCTTCCTTCTGGTTCCTTCCTTCTGTAAACGTTACATATTTGGCTGAAATGGTTCCTTCCTTCTGGTTCCTTCCTTCTGTAAACGTTACATATTTGGCTGAAATGGTTCCTTCCTTCTGGTTCCTTCCTTCTGTAAACGTTACATATTTGGCTGAAATGGTTCCTTCCTTCTGGTTCCTTCCTTCTGTAAACGTTACATATTTGGCTGAAATGGTTCCTTCCTTCTGGTTCCTTCCTTCTGTAAACGTTACATATTTGGCTGAAATGGTTCCTTCCTTCTGGTTCCTTCCTTCTGTAAACGTTACATATTTGGCTGAAATGGTTCCTTCCTTCTGGTTCCTTCCTTCTGTAAACGTTACATATTTGGCTGAAATGGTTCCTTCCTTCTGGTTCCTTCCTTCTGTAAACGTTACATATTTGGCTGAAATGGTTCCTTCCTTCTGGTTCCTTCCTTCTGTAAACGTTACATATTTGGCTGAAATGGTTCCTTCCTTCTGGTTCCTTCCTTCTGTAAACGTTACATATTTGGCTGAAATGGTTCCTTCCTTCTGGTTCCTTCCTTCTGTAAACGTTACATATTTGGCTGAAATGGTTCCTTCCTTCTGGTTCCTTCCTTCTGTAAACGTTACATATTTGGCTGAAATGGTTCCTTCCTTCTGGTTCCTTCCTTCTGTAAACGTTACATATTTGGCTGAAATGGTTCCTTCCTTCTGGTTCCTTCCTTCTGTAAACGTTACATATTTGGCTGAAATGGTTCCTTCCTTCTGGTTCCTTCCTTCTGTAAACGTTACATATTTGGCTGAAATGGTTCCTTCCTTCTGGTTCCTTCCTTCTGTAAACGTTACATATTTGGCTGAAATGGTTCCTTCCTTCTGGTTCCTTCCTTCTGTAAACGTTACATATTTGGCTGAAATGGTTCCTTCCTTCTGGTTCCTTCCTTCTGTAAACGTTACATATTCGGCTGAAATGGTTCCTTCCTTCTGTAAACGTTACATATGCGGCCGAAATGGTTCCTTCCTTCTGTAAACGTTAAATATTCAGCTGAAATGGTTCCTTCCTTCTGTAAACGTTACATATTCAGCTGAAACGGTTCCTTCCTTCTGTAAACGTTACATATTCAGGTGAAATGGTTATATTAATGGTAATATTCAGCGCAATCATATTATTTTTGAAAAATTTGTAAAACCTAGTGAAGATTTAAAATGACAATTAATAACTTTGGCAGAATATTTTTTATGGCAGTGTAATTATTTCACTGAATTTTTTTTTTCAGTAAATCGTGGTAAAAATATATTATAGTCATTATTTTATCCTCAGAAAAAAATTGACTTAAAAAGAACGCATTCTAATTAAAGATCAAATTAAAGCTGTGCTAAACTTTTTGATATTTTATATATATATTATTCACTCGTTACATATAGAGCTGCACGAATTGGCCAAAAATGTATACAGTATTGAGATTTTGTTGTCATATTGCAATTTGAACTGTGATATGATAAACATTTCTCTTTTTTAGTTATGATAGAGATTCATCACATTTTACGTGACATTCACGCTGTTATTTTAGGAACCCAAACAAAATTAATAATAATTATTGTTATTGAAATGTTATCATTGTTACTGTTGTTATTAGTTTTAGCTCAAATTTATAGAAAATGAAGACAAATACTTTACTGAATTTACACTACAGGTTAAAATACCAATATTTATGTTTTAAATTCTTCACTTTCAGATGTTACCATTTTAAACTCGAACTCTTACTTTAGTGGAATATTTTTTTGATTGTGTTTGTGTTTTTCGTCAGACAGTGAAGGACGGTATTTCAGAGACTCGCATCGAAAAGAGGATCGTCATCACAGGAGACGCAGACATTGACCACGATCAGGTACAGCCACGGGTGGGTTAACCAGTTATCTAGTTCGTTAACCAGCAACACAAAACCTCAGTGACCGAACCTGATTAAACACGTGATTGTGCCTTTGCTTTGACTGGATGCTTGAGGCCCAAAAACACCAAAAATATGCTAATTCCATTGTCAGCTTACAATTAAAATATATTATTTCAGTTATCGTTTCGTTTATTTTTTAACTACAGTATATAAACACATTTTAACCCTTTAACTGCCACCCCCCATTTTTTTAAATAGGCATGCAGGTGCACTATCCAAACTTAAATTGTTGTAATTTATGAACACTTTGGAATACAGACATAAGTTTGGTCTCTTTTTAAAGAAGGAAATCAGCAGATTATAGCAAATTTAAGTATCAAAAAGTTATGGTAATTTAAATTTACTGTAAAGAAAATACACTATATTAATTTTATTTTATTTTACATAATAAATATTTTACATAACAGGTTTTACTCTAAAATTGGTATAAAATTAAAGCCTTATGTCTAAATAAGTTATGTTCCAAATTTGAAGTTGATATGAAAAAAATGTAGGTTCCTGTGAGATTTTATTTAGGGCGTCATACCACAAACAGCCACATAACCACCAAATATGTGAGTGAGTGAGTGAGTGAGTGAGAGTGTGTGTGTGTGTGTGAGAGTGAGAGTGTGTGTGTGTGAGATTGATTGAGTGGGTGGGTGAGTGAGTGAGTGGTTGGTTGGTTGGTTGGGTGGGTGAGATTGCGTGATTGATTGATTGATTGAGTGAGTGAGTGAGTGAGTGATTGATTAAGTGATTGGTTGATTGAGTGATTGGTTGAGTGAGTGAGATTGTGTGTGTGTGTGTGAGCGGTCGGTCAGTCGGGTGATTGAGTGAGTGGTTGGTTGGTTGAGTGGGTGAGTGAGTGATTGCGTGTGTGAGAGCGGTCAGTTGATTGATTGATTGATTGATTGATTGAT